CTGTTAATGAAGTCATAATTATGGGTGATTTTAATTTCAGGCATATATATTGAGAAATTCTAGAGTCAAACCAAAGATTTTTGGAAACTATTCAGGATGGCTTTCTTCACCAATTAGCCAAGCAATCTACTAGAAACTATGCTATTTTAGATTTATTGTTAACTTCAAACATAGAAATGATTGAGAGGGTGGATTTTGGGGAACAGCTGGGTGCATGTGATCATTGCCTGATTAGGTTCAATGTTTTGCTGCATATGGAAATAATGAATAATGATATGAGTTATTTGGAGACACTTATCAGACTTGGAAAAGTTTTAAAGATAAATTTTTAAATATTCAAGGTAAACGTATTCCTTATAGAAAGAGAAAGATGGCTGCAAGTAAAAAACCAGGTTGGTTTACAAAAAGTTTAAGAGATTAAATTAAAGAAAAGCATCATAAATTTAAGAAATTTAAATTGACTGGTATGACAGGAGACTTAGAAGATTATAGAAAACCAAGAAAGTTGGTGAAACAGGAAATTAGGACATCGAAAAGGATGTATGAGAAAAGAATGGCTGAAAATGTAAAAATTAACAGTAAGGATTTCTTTAAATGCATTAAGGGTAAACAAAATGTTAGGATGGGGGTAGGACCCTTGAGGGATGATAAAGGAAGGCTAGTATCTGATGATTATGAGATGGCTGGGTTATTAAATTTTTCCTTTTCTTTGATGACTGAATTAATTCTGAGCTGTTTAAGAAAAAATTGGGAAGTTTAAAAAATGATAAGGCTCCTGGGCCAGATAATATTTCCCCAAGGGTTTTGAAGGAGGTTAAAGATTGGATATGTGAACCACTTACTACTATTTTTGTGAGTCCTTGAATATTGGGCAGGTATCAGAGGATTGGAAACTAGCTAATGTAACTCTTCTTTTCAAGGGAGGTGATAAAAATAGTCCAAGTAATTATAGACCCATTAGTCTTACACCAGTTGTGGGAAAAGTTTTGGAAAGTCTGTTAACAGATGCTTTGCAAAGTCATTTAACAAAGTTTAGAATTTTATTGGATCATCAACATGGTTTCACTAAGTGAAAATCTTGCCTTACAAATATTTTGACATTCTTTGAAAAGGTTACTGCTGATGTAGATGAGGGTAAGGGTGTAGATTTGGTGTGTCTTGATTTTCAGAAAGCATTTGACAAGGTGTCACATAAAAGGCTTGTAAGGCTTTGATAAGTTATCAAATTGGGTAGAAGAGTGGCTGGATGGAAGAAAGCAGAGGGTTGTTACAAATGGACTTCAGTCAAACTGGATTAATGTCACAAATGGGGTACCTTAGGGCTCAGTCTTAGGAGCTTTGCAC